TCAATTTGGAAGAATTTATGTTCCATATAAATGATCAAACCATACATAATTCAGTAGTAACTGATGAATTCATCTTCATCCGTCTCTCCGAATTACAGAGATCACAGCTGGATTGAATGCTTAGCAATAACAGCTTGGTATGAAATGTTATTTTCCTCGCAGAAAAATGCATGGACGTTGTTTTTTACATCAGTATTGAAAATTACGATTAGTTATGAGACTTTGATAATAGTGAATTTATTTTAATGTTGTTGTTGTTATGAATGGCAACTTAATTTGTAGCTCTGGATTATAAATATCTAATTGACATTATTATCCATTAATACCAACTGAAGTCAATGTTCTAACAATGACCCACATCTGTAGGCCGAATGCAAGCTGACACTATAGCTGCACGTTCCATTGTTGCATGGAACAGAGCCTGTCGGATGTTGCGCTCTCAGGTCACGGAGATAAAAGTTTGCAGACCATTTGGTCGAGATGGAGAGAGACGAAATGTCAGGCGGTGTAGAATTTTTCTGCTAATGGCCCTCTTATGCAGAGTGAGATAAAGATAATAGGAAGGTTTTCTCTGAAGTTTCATAAGAATTTGCAAAAATGTTGAGACAATTAACAAATATTAGTCAGACAATTGAGTTTGAAATTTGAGGAATTTCAATTGAGCCTGAAATTTGAATTTGGTGTTCGGTATGAATAACGCGAATGAAGAAACATTCCCTTACTCAACGCTGATGAATACCATCCGTTCGACCGACCACAGATAAATTATTTTGCGTCAATCAAATGGAAACCCTCTCACTTCAATTTTTGTTCATCTGAAATCTTAAGGGATGCTCATTGAAATCTTAAGATTCATTAGTCATGCTCCTGTCGTCTCTTGCAAGTTTATCTGCAGTATCAGCATTTATTTCAATCATCAATCAGTTATTTGTGTATGTTGCTCATTGGTGACGTTCTCGTGGCAGCAAGCGAAGTCCAAATCTAAAAACATTCGACGATCTCAGATGAATTTACAGAATATTTGCTTGTTGTTACGGTCGAGTAAACGCTTCTGGCTGGAACATGGACTAAACAACTTTAGTTTATGTACTATATACGAGTTCAATTATTTATTTCTTACGTTCGGCGGGCACATTTTTCGATATGAATATCAAGCCTTTAACCTTGCTGCTTAATTCATAGTTTCATATATAAATAAAGTTTCTGTGTTCGAATTGCATTATTTATTTCTTAACTTTGGTTTCAGAATGATTCCGATACAATCGAGATTAATGTTCGATAGAGATAAGATCAGTTGTGCTAATTGAGGTATTTTCGTGTTAGGATTCATAAATGACGTTTCTTTATTAAATTTTAGGTAATTTTACGTACGAGAATACGTCCAGTCCGGTGAAATTATTTTTAATGTGAATACCGTAATTTGGGTGAAGTTTAGGACGTTAATTTAGAAGGTTATTGCCGAGCATAAGCCACAGAACACCGCCCATGTCCTATCGACTACTCATTACTTGCCGGTTTTCCCAAACTCAATATAATACTGGCCAGAAATACACTTTGCAGTATTTGAATAACAAAAATATGCTAAATATTTATAGCGCATACGATAATGCGTAGATTTATCTTTTCATAAATGTATTCATAATAAAGGGAAGTGACGATAAAAGTGGATTTGATCCACTATACCGCAGTGGAATTAGGCATTTTTTCATTAACGAATTGGTTAAAAGGCTGTTAGATATCAATGCTAGATAGAAATGGGAGTTAAATCGAATTAACTGACAGGTAAGGCATAAAGAAACAATGTAGAAATCAAAGTTGCTCGAATTGGAATTCTGAGAAGTGTGATTCCAGGATCCTGCTGGCCGCTCTGCGCTGTCCATGTGAATTAATTTGGTTGCATTAGTTGTATGCGGTAACGTAGCTTGAAATTCAGTGTTTGGGGCGGCAGGGCAGCCCTGGCTTTATATAGCAAAGGAAGGTCTACGAAAGAATGAGATATAAAAGGGACGGCTATGAGCGCCGCACCGAAGCGTCGCAGCAACGTGTCGTGAGACGCAGGCACGCACGTTGCAACTGCGACGCTCAAGCTGAGTTCACATACACGATTTAAACGTCTGAGATAACTAAAAAGTTGTCATAATTAGGACTCGGATGCGCTATTGTGAATGTGGTTGCCGTTGATACACGTTTCTCACAATAATTGTATAATGCGTTGCGGCATGACTTGATCACGCAGCTGCCGAAGTAGAGCAACCACTTGTAAGGTGTGCAGTACACCACGTACGATCAATATTGCGTGCAAGATCCTAAATAAAAAATGCATACGTCTCTTCATAGTGGTGACTCAGACATGTAACTCTTTGTTAGTAATCTAATACATATATTATTAATGCTGCTTCGTCTTACATGCAATCTGTTGTATTATCTCGAACACTCAAGTACGTTGATCACAATGACACAACATAATAGAGACTTATGGAAAACAGCGATAATGTCGAAAAAAGAGGTCCGACTCTTTTATTGATTTTTAGAGCATTGGCTTCACTATATACGCAATACGGAATTAAAGCGCAGCGGTGTACGGCAAAGAGATGCAAAGGATTTGGTTAATGGTATACGAGCGACCATTGTACATTTACAATAAATATTCTCATGATTTAGTCTCACACTCACGATTAGCCACTTACTAATCGTAAGTATCTAATCGTGATCGTACTAATCGCGACTAAATTACTCATTATGAACTTTTCGTGCCGGAGCATTATTGCAATGGAATGAGAAATGTATTATATTTATCTGCGGCTAAGTGATTTGTGATCCTAAAAGCGTATCTATACTATACTTTAAGTATATTAAGTATATTACTACTTAATGATATCTATACTACTACTACTATACTTAATGATATCTTCAACTTTTGCAGACCTAGATACAAAGTAATTTCAACCTGTGTCATTAGGTTCATTCTGTGGCGGTTGCTTGGGGCCTGTGTTAGCGAACACCTGTTTCTGTTTATTGCAATTATATTTTTTATGTTTAGTTACAAAAGTTTCATTGGCCATGTTCTTGTGTGAATTAAATAGGCAGGGAACGGGAAGAACATCGCATAGCATGGTTAAGTAACCAACTATGGGCTGAATAACGGATTTAGCTGTTAGACCTAATAATTATTACAGTTTCTTAGTTGATTACGAAAGGCGTAAACAGAAATGCCAGAAAGAAAATGATCGAAACCTCTCCATAATGTTGAAGTTCTATTTTTCATTCCTGTTGGGTTCAGATCACTAATCTCCAATATACCAAATGAACAGAAGACTACTTATTCAATTCACGTCTCCAATATACCAAATGAACAGCAGACTACTTATTCAATTCACGTCTCCAATATACCAAATGAACAGCAGACTACTTATTCAATTCACGCAGTTGTGCCGAGCTCCAATTTTCCACCGCAATTAACGATGGCAGCGACCACACGGACGGGGCTCCTGATTGGCCTAGTTCGGAACCTTTCGTGCAATGTTCTATTAAATTGCAATGTTTCTCTCAAATGAACCCATTCTTTCCTGATAAATTCATCATAAAAAAATATTAAACAATTAATATCAAAGGCATAGGGCAAGAGTAAAAACAAGCTTATCAATATCACCAGACGATACGTACTAAATACGCGCATTACTCCATGAAAGCATGTCCATCCGATATTCAAAAATAAATATTTACCCCCCATCATGTGTTAAGTTTATTTCAAAAGTTTCCAAACATTTGCAAACAAGATTCCAGTTAGTGTGAAACCTCTTCCTCATCGAATAATGTTTGCGAACACTTTAACGAATTTTAGCAACTTTTCAGAAACTGGTGGGAACGTTTGAGTCAAAGGTTCAAATATTTTAACTAGATTCGGTCAAAGGATTTTAACTATATTCGGTGCTTGTAGCGCGTCCATTGTAAACGGCATATCTACATAGAGTGGATTAGAGCGGCTGATGGTTAAAGGATGCGTCAAACCCAATTTATACTTATATATTTAACATTTTAGCATAACGTAAGGAGATTATGGCCTGCTTTACTCGATTAAAATGTACAAGCTTCTTTTTAATAACGTGATATCTATATTGATTACTTTTCCGTGTTCCATAACAATTTTTTTCAATAATCCAGAAATACTTAAAGTTCTCAAATCCAATTGGAATAAAATTTGAAAATCTCGAATTTTCTGGGGCATGACTACTGTTAACACTGCTACTTGATGTCAATTCTACAACCTTACGTCTACCACGACGTCACTTATCGTTTAATTAGAACGACTTAAATAGTATCTTCCATTATTTTTAATTTATTGAGTCATATCAGAAATATTGGCAATGGCTGGCCTGTCACAGGCCTCTGCAATTTCCTTCTGGTTGCTAATGACAGTTTATCCTAGTTGACAATACAAATATGACGAACTAATTCCAAATAATTTTAATTAGTTTAACTCAATCTTCATTATTAGTTATGAACCTTTCGTTAACCCAATATATGTTACGTAACTACCATGTTTAGTCCTGCAACTAATCATGGATCTTTAAATAAATTGGTGCTGAATCCCATATAATACCCCTCAAGCATTTAATATACACAGCGCCACGTCTTTTCTCTAATTTAAGATCCCATTAACATCATCGTGGCCCAAAACAATGAAATTATTGAGAATAAACTGAAACCCGAAATATCTACAAACACCAAACCTGAAACTGATCCATAATTATCCTTCCATTGTGCTTCCCTAGATTTACATCCAGCTAGAGAAATCGGCCAAGTTCCTCAAGATGGAACAACGATAATTTCTTAAGGTTTCTCTATGTTCGTGCCAACACTTACACGTACCTCGATGTATTATAAAATTCACGTCTTGCAAAACCTGCACATGTCGACGCCATCTGATTGAACACTAACAAGACAATCCAAAGCGTATATGTTGCAAATCACTCGTAATTGATGCCGTAATAATTGCCTCGTTACCGTTTGATCAACAGGATTTGTACAGCAAGGCTCATCATCACGAAGCAGGCGATGAAACCGAGACCTCCTTCCCGAAATGCAGGGGCTCCCGAGAAGTGCCCGCTGGACGCGAGGTACGGCATAAGATGCACATTGCATAGGTCGCTCTGGCAAGTGCGGTAGCAGTTCACGGAGCTGCTATCCTTGCTGATCCGCGTTCCCGCGTTAGTGCCCCGATTATCCCGCGTTCCTGCATTCGCGTCCCGGTCACCCCGCGTTCCTGCATTCGCGTCCCGGTCACCCCGCGTTCCTGCATTCGCGTCCCGGTCACCCCGCGTTCCTGCATTCGCGCTCTGGTTATCCCGCGCTCTTGCATTCGCGTCCCGGTCACCCAGCGTTCCTGCGTTCGCGTCCCGGTCACCACGCGTTCCTGCTTTCGCGTCCCGGTCACCCCGCGTTCCTGCGTTCGTGCTCTGGTTATCCCGCGCTCTTGCATCACCGGCGCTCTTCGTAATCGCACTCACGAAGTGGCATCTGTTGGTCAGGTCCACGGGGGAGCAGGCGCGGATCACCACCAGCGCCGCACCTGAGTTTGTAACATCATGGGTGAAAATGAATGTTATTGTTGCATCAAAATGAGACGTTATCATAATGAATGAATATGCAACATTTTGAATAATCAGGTAAATGGTAAGCAAAGTTGCTACCATACTTATCTAGGAGAAAAACAGGGAGCCTTATGAAATAAATTTTGCTAGTTAAATCATCTCTTCTGAACGTGAAAGTCGGCTTTACGTTTCATTTACAAAGCAAAGCACAAATTTTGGATTAAAGCTACTAGTAATCTGTAGCGACTTAGCAATTAAGATCTTCAAAATTCCAAGATCCAGTAAAAAGATAACAAAGGTCCATAGAATGGCAATTAATATGGGTAAAAATTGTCTGCAACAGGTATATTGACGGCTATCAATTGAACCGACAAAGTAGGTTGATGCTGTCTGAGTCAAGTGGACTTAACATTATCAAAACACATAATTATTCTTGCAATATAATTAGTTGTGTTGCAGAAAAGTAATTTAACCAACGGCACTGACGGCAATGTGGTATTTCTACACTATTGCTTGATTGAATGCAGATGTTTGTTAGCGCTTCATCATAACTCATTGTGAGTTGTAACTCCTCCCGTGTGCTACGTGATTTACGTCATTGATATGCATAAAAAAATGATTTGGTTTTTGGTCAAACAAAACAGAGAACCTGGCAACTTTCAATGAGTTGTGCCATAAAATATTGTGCTAATTTTGGCGAATCTGCAACTTCGATTTTTGAAAAGCTGCGTAACTAGAAGACATGGACATTCACACCTCAAGAGCTCAATGTTTTTCTAGCGTAAATATCATCCGAAACAAAGAAATACCCTCCTAGCGAGGCTTTGATGTCGAAAACACCTACAAATCAGAGACCACCGCAATTTTTGTATCTTTGGCGGAAAAAAACAGTTGTCTGCAAATATTTTTCTCCTCCACGAAAAACACTTGTCCAATATTTCAATAAAACCAATTTTGAAAAGCTCACAGCAAAAGGAGACCATAAATCGTAAACAAATGGGTGCCTTCTCACTGCTCTATCCGCGATGGAATTTTTGACTTAAAAAGCATCATTGTGGTATTTAGCCAATTATTCGCCTGACATTAGTATGGCAATTTTTTTATGCTGAACAAAATCCGTAGGTCATGGAGCTTGGAAAAAATTCCGAAAAATGTTACGGACAGGCTGCAGTGATTACGTTTAAAGATTTTCTGTGCTACTGCCGAAAGTGTATATAATGTTTCCATCGTTGTGTTTAATGGAACTACTACAGTGTGTTGAGCAGATATCATTGATTTATGAACAAATGACAAACTTTGGTGATTGAAACATCAGTGTCATCACGAGTTGTATAATCACTAATGACTCCTCGCAGTGTACATTAGACTTGCGTTAATGACCAGTGGGTGCTAGTGCCTCCTCTCTCACTACACGCGTCACTCATCTTGTCTGCCCCCGTTTCTTCAATTCCTTACTACAAGCAATTATATTTTCACCATCTCTCATTCCACGGTCGCGATACTACTTGTACTACTTCAGAACTTTATTATATTCACTCACATTACTCACTCAAAGTTCTCACCAATACTAACATAACTTGACATGCACAGCACCCACCACTTACCACAAAACACGGCAACCACAATATCGCACCCAAAGTTCTCATTACACGCCTTCTACCTGATAGCACCACAGTGCACGACACCCAAGCCAACCCACGACAATCGTCACCCACCCCAACCCATCACACACGGCAACCACCACAATCCATCACACACGGTACCCACCACAACACACCACACACGGCACCCACCACAACCCATCACACACGGCACCCACACCAACCCATTACACACGGCACCCACCACAACCCACCACACACGACACTCACCCCAACCCATCACACACGGTACCCACCCCAGCCCATCACACACGGTACCCACCCCAACCCATCACACACGTCACCCACCCCAACCCACCACACATGTCACCCACCCCAACCCACCACACACTGTACCCACCCCAACCCACCACACACAGTACCCACCACAACACACGACACTAACCCTCTTTAAGGCCGAGGTAGCCTGCAAGCACGGCGCAGTAGCGCTCGGTGTCGTTACAGGTGACGGCAGCACCTCGTCCTGCGATGCAGTCTCCATCCACCAGACTGTTGCATTTGAGGCAGCGCAGCGCCCCGCCTGTACACCAACAAAGTTCTGCGTTACGGCAAACTTGATGCCGCGCAGTGCCTCGCAGTAATCCTATTAATTAAATTCCAGATAATGACTTCATCGTTCAGTTAAGCGTCTAATTTAGACACGGAAAAATTAGAATGCACTTAAACGCCTAGGAATCCACGCAGATGCTAGTAAATTTTCAAGTAAATCGTTTTCGTGAAATAAAGATTGCACAATTTGTCTCACGTATTCTGTTGCTTACAGAGACAAGCTGTTGTACGGTAATTGTATAGTACTAATTTTGGCGATGATACATTTGCCAAATTTATCAGTGATTCAGAATAGATGAGTGGAAAGTAATTAATGTACGAGAAATTTTTTGCGTATTATATTAATAATAAAAATAGCAAAAGGACATGTAGTTGATGTGAGTAGGCAGTGACTTTAATTCTTCTGACTAATTGATTGAAGCAATTAGTTCAATGTGTCAGGGATACTGTGTTCAGTTGTAAGTTGTGCAAATTTAGTTGTGATGCATGTTGAATGTGATCAGTAGTGTTCAACTATTGCTTGTGGTCTTCCGAGATAATTTTTACACTTTACTTTAATTTCAATTTAGTTCATTTACTAAATCTTATGTGGGGTATTAATGAGTTCATTATGTTTGCAACAATTCTCATTTACAATATAAATATTCATAGAATGCAATAAAGTATGATGAATGTGTGCTGAAAAATGTAAAGAATTTTTTTTAGTTTGATTTTGTTGTATATTGCCTACATTGTGTATTGTAAATCATCTCGAAACAACAGGCCGGAAACTGCACCACTCACCATGAACAATAAAGGTGGCGAAAATGAAACTCCACATCAAGAATTTCCACAAGCAATATCCGCCTTGCGAAGTAGTTCTTGCGTAATCATTTAGATTCAGCTTCCCCAAAATGTTCAGAACACTTCTCAGATTCCTCCGCTGTGACCCTTTGCAATTTTCTGACTTAGTTTGAAGGATTTCCTTGCTGGATTCAATCCGTCTTGGATTCCTTGGGATCGAATTGATTAATTCCAGTTTGTTTCTGGAGAATGCAGCTTGTTTTTCAGTGCAAAAGCGTCCTTTGCCAGACAACTTTAGCGTCTTGGAATTTTTATTAAGATAAACGTTCAGCTTCTTGGCGTTTAGAGCCTTCAAACGCTCATTCAGATCTTCAATGCGAGCTCCTAGATTTGGAGGAAATTTGAAATGCCTTTTAATCTGATCGAAGTCAGTGTTTATTTTCGATGGCGAATTTAACCTTGAGTAAAATAAATAGTTTGCAGAGTTTGTGGGGGAGTCAGTTCTCTTATTCGAGAATATTTTTTGGCAGCATATTGATTTTGAATGTATAATTAGATTATTCAAATTATTTCGTGGTCTTGACGACACTTCTGATCGGACACCTAAAATAGGTGTAGATTTTAATTGAGGGTCTATTTTTGATTTTGAAGAATTTTCTGTGCGATCCGCCGGCGAATTCATCATTATTAATCCATAGCCGTTGTAAATATTTACCCGATGGATATATTCTCCGTCCGCTTCATCCGCTCTGTCTACAAATCCACGCTTTAAAAATGTCACATAATTTCCTTTCGGTCTGAAGATCAGAAAGCAACGGGGCTCTTCGCTCCATAAATCTTCCACATTCGGATCACTTTGAAAATAGTGAGAAGCCCCGCTATGTTCGGTGATCATTATCTGTAGACGAGACACGTCCGTGATGCAATCCATTCTTACTTCAGGGAATTTAAAACAATTCGTAGCGATGGCTAGAATAAAGTTGAAATTTAGTCAACAACTCCCGGATAGAATCGCAGTTTTTTTTAATTAAGTCAATTGAGTGAGGAATTATTAACGATTGGAAATAAATATCATAATCATTATAAACTCACTGATTAGTAGAGCATTTTTGAAGAGAGACACCTATAAAAAAATGTCCGAGTATCAACCCCAAAAAATTTTTTTTTCAAGAAAAGCTGAGAAATAATTTATTAATCAGATTTTGGAATATCTGAAAGCAATCAGTTTTTTAACCTTCAGTTCATAAGTTACCTAATACAAAGATGACTGAGTGAAAAATTGATAAATTCTGGTTTACCATGAAGCTTCATTTATTGTTATGTCTATGAAATCAACGTCGAATGACAAGAAAATTGCAAATATATGGAGAAACATAATAAATAGCTCCTATTGTATCCTGCTATTTTGTAATAGATCCCAATATAATTTACTTGATTCTTATGTAATCTCAATATGAAAAGTGCATTTAGCATTACAACAATTCGTTTTAGAGCTGCAACTCCCATACCAACTCAAATATTCTTCGCTCTAAATAGCGGTCGCTGAAGTCTTGTCTTAAGTCCCCCTCGCGTTCAGAGTAGCTCTTATTAAGTCTTGTCTTAAGTCCCCCTCGCGTTCGGCGTAGCTCTTAGCAGTACAGAGCCTCGCTGCTATAAATTATCGGACCTAGAGTGACTCGCGCAGCCAACCTACTGTTAGGCAGCTACTGCAAATAAGGCTAGTTTTATTGCTTGCTGATAAATAGTTACCGATTTTAAAAATGCAATAATTTTGATTTCTCCTCATCATCCAACGTGTGTAAAACTAATACATGTATTGTAAATGAGAGGGTTCTTCTCTGCGGTAAAGAATTTACTCGCAAATAACTTTCCGATCGAATGAGTTCTCCATTGAACATCAATGGTAAACCTAAAACATTTTTCGATCAATCGCATTATTAAGAGCAGTAATTCAACATTTGTCCTACTTTGAGCCTCTTTTCACACTGACTATTCTAAATATATTTTTGCACAGACTCTGCCAAAATAGATGTGAAAGTTTCAATATTTGGTGACCGTTTTTGGGTAAGACGTGTGAATTTCTGCGACAACTCATTAATCAATGTACAAATATTGAGTAAAATTTACCAATGTGAGAACCATGTCTGACAATCGTATGAGTCTGATAAGCTGGAAAAAGCGGAAATGAAAGATATTTTAACAGTTCTTGGCGTTGACTGGCCGCTCGATTGATTAGATGGCTAAAGAATAAGAAGAACTACCAGCCGCCTTCATCCTTTGAGACTCGGACAAAGGAAAGATGAGGTCATGGTCAGGCCAGCATCGTCGAAGAAACGCAGCTCTGCCTTATGATAACATATAAAGCATAAAGCAAATTATTCCTTCTTCGGGGCAATTTCGCACTGGGGTTCAAAACTCTAAAATTTTTATTGCGCAGAAGAATACTTTTTTGAGCGATAATGACCTGCCTCTTCCGAAAGAAAGCCGAAAGTGGAAGAGCATTAAAGGCGTGTAATGATTTTTTACGGCCATTGTGATCATTTCAGTGAATTTTTTTATGATATTATCAATGGAATTTTAAACGAAAATTTTAAACCTTGTCTCAATAATTACTGAGTTTATAGGCTAATGTGGTAGAATGAAAATTTTATTTTGTGTTAAAACATTCTATGAAGTTCATTTTTTCATCAATTTTGAAATGGTTACTGTAAGTTTTAAACTAATATCATTAACAAAAATCTTTAAGTGGGCACTTAAAATTAAAATGTAACAATTAAAATATTTACCTACATGTAGTCTAACGTATCGTTTCATTGGGTTGTGAATTTAATTCGTTTTAATTTGCCAATATAGAGACAGTCACAAAATTCAAGAATTTTAAAAATAGACACAGTTGATATTCCGCAAATGGAGAAAATTTTGAACAAAAATGCAAAAAAAGTTTTAGTCATACACGCATTTGCTTGTAACTCCTCTCCTAAATACATAACCTTCAGCCATGCGCGAGCCAATCTTGGATTTGAATAAGCTTAACTCTAAGTGTTTAACCGACTGCTAAATTCAGCTGGATTTTCCACTTGTAATAACCTTTAGGACTTAAAGGAGAGCAGCTGGCGAACTGATCAGAGATACAAGAGATAAAAGCAAGACTGTTAGATGACCCAGGCCAAGAAAGTAATTGGGGTCATACATGAAGAGGAAACATGTCACCATACGATTGGCTATCCCGAAGTCATCTATTTCTACTTTTCTCGAGAAATAGACGACGTGTGAACGATGTGGTGAAAGCTGTTGATATTTTTTATGTAATTTTAGGAAAAACCTAAAATTAATTAAACATGAGCGTTTTTATCACATATTACAGGAAGTGGCAAAGTTAATCAAATCCAGGTAGTAAAATCCGTAGACTTTTGTCATGTCAGCTGTGGAAATGAGCATCCGAAAATCCTTGATACATTTTCTCCAACGTAAGGTAATAATTACTCAATATTTTACCCTAAAATAGCTCAATATTAGATTCTCTTCTAATAAATAATAAGATTAATAACCATTGTCTAATTGTTATCCTCCTGTAATACTAACTATTTTATTCCTTCAATTAAAAATTAAATTTTGAGAATACGAATATTTTAAATCATGATACGGTTTCAACACACAAATCTGAATCCCCGTTCTACAAATATTCATCCCATAGATTTCCCTCGATATCAAATTATCCCTGTTAAATTCTTCATCAGAGTTGCGATGCTAGAGCTCAAGTAGTTCGCCAGCGCACATACCACACTCCTCATCCCACAGCCGCCAAGCGACCACTGAGCTCAGCACCTGTGAAGCGCCAGCATTTTTATACGGAGGTTCATCAGAAAATTATAGCAAGCGAGCATGTGTTGACACAGTGGAATTAGGGAGGAAGAGATTTGAGTTGAAATTCGAATCTGACCAGTCTGGATGAGAATTTTTTAATGGATTTGGTAACGCTTTGAGGAATTATTCATTGATGGTCGACGCGTGAATTTGTTGAAGATCTCTCCTTCAACTTTACATTTTTGATTATATATAAATATGAAGGCTCTTATCCGGATCTCTTGACCTTAATGAGAACAAGTTAGGATAAGATGGAGCGCCGTATATGTAAATGAATATATGAACACAGCTCGATGGCCTAAATGAAAAAGTAAATTTAATCTTAGCTAAATTATAAAATTTTTTAAGAAATTAATTTCCGTCCCGAAACGAAATTCAGTGTTTTTAGAAACAGTTTTACGTTTAATAACAGATCAAAACTACTTAATGGCCACCGGATATCCAGAAATTTGTTGAATTCCGTACTGCCCAACACTGGAATATTTCTTATTCAAACACATCTCCACTCCACGTACCCTGTACCACTCTACACATCTCCACTCCACGTACCCTGTACCACTCTACACATCTCCACTCCACGTACCCTGTACAACTCTACACATCTCCACTCCACGTACCCTGCACCACTCTACACATCTCCACTCCACGTACTCTGTACCACTCTACACAGACCCAGTAAATATGCTCTCAAATTTCTCCGTTTATCTCTAATCCAAGCAGCGCAAACCCACATTCATCTCATCCTCGCCCTGCTTTACCATTTCTATATGCTTTTCCCATCACTCAGCTGTGTAGAGCTTTTTCTTTGACCTACCTTCGTATGTGTAGTGCAGTAGGTCATCACATTTACCAGCAATACATGCATGCCTTTATAACATCTGCGCAGCGTATACATACATGAAAGAACTTCTCTGCAGCTATGAAGTGTATTACCCTGACACTCACCAGAGTGTTAGATCTGATATCTGGTATGAGTTTTTTCCTCTATGAGTTTGCTGCTGCAGGGGAACAGAAATTTCTGCATCGCCATGCAACGAAATGCTCTTATTTTTGTGTTCTAGTTTCAAAATTGCTTCATGTCGCCAACAAAGTCTTCATTACAACTGGAATGAAGCGCAGTGCGCTGCCCGCTGCGTCAAATCTGAGTCGCCGGAGACTCGGTCCAAATGCATTGCCCGAATTTTCGCATGTTGCAGTTGATGAGAATTTCGAGGGATGAAACTCGATTTTGATATCGAAATGTGATAAAATACAGTTAATATTTATCTTAGAACCGATTTTTTCGATCGAACTGGTACTGCATGAGTAATAAATTCATTTTAAAGTTTGATGAAACTTGTAGTGTCGCAAGTAAAATTAACGAATAATTCAATTACACGATATTGATTAATAAAAAATTGAACAATTAAATGGAAAGGTATGAGGCTTCAGATGCAAACATCACAGTCTATTCGTAACAAACGTATAAATAACTATCCACGCGAATTAATTATAAGCTTTTGTCAGTTTGGTGTAATTAATACTACTTTATTCTATTTATCATTTTGAACAAAAGCAGTTAGTATGAATAGCTGAATAAATATGAATGAATGAAAAGCTTGTGTTCAAATTTATGCTTTCAAATAGGCTTATAGATAAAAAAGGGCGGACAAGAAAAAATCGTCATATCACAAATTGGAGGCTAGCAAAATGTATCACTCTCATTCCAATTAAAATTATTCTCTATCTCACTTGTAGGTTTCTTCTTTGTAACTTACCGATGGAATAAATAATTGGTCAAATTCATATACAGAATTAACTGTAACCTACAACCAATATATCCATGCTAAACAAACAACCCCAGCCAAGCACAACAAACAATAATTTTGTGTTTTTCTTGCGAACCTCCGACTCGACGATTAAAAAATTTATAAAATTAATTTCTTAATATTATAAGTATTTATTATTAATATTAATAATAATAATAATAATACAATTTTTTAAGCAATAAAAAGAACCAAATAAAGGCCCATAAAATTAAACATGTTTGCACGCATTCGATCATGGGGCTACTCTAGTCCAGAACAAAACCACAGCGAGGCCTAACCAACAAAACCGAACAATTGAACAACCAATTTGAATAAAAGTGTTCAC